AATCAAAAATTTAATAAATATGTGAATTTTAACAAACGTCAAAGCAATTTTTTGAGAAAATTTTTAATAAAATATATAACAGAAATAGTACAAATTATATGATAAATAATGTCAAATTATATAGTAAAAATTGAATGATAATTTATTTATATCATTAATTTGTTGATTTATTTACTTTTTGATAAATGTTACTAAATTTATAACAAAAAAAAAGGTTAAATTAAAATAAATAAAGGTTTTTTAAATGATTAAAAATTGAGAAGAGATTTTGAAAAATAAATTTTTGAAAAAAATCAAATAAACTTTTTTTTTTTTCTTTTTTTATACAATTATATATTTTAAATGTTTTTCTTTCTCTTTTTTTTTCAATCTGTTTTCTTTTATAATTTTTGCATTTTAATAATTTAATTGGATACATATTAGTAACAACCTACTAACTATAATGATCCAATTTCACTACAAATTCAAAAACTTATTGCTTACAATAGAGTTGAATAAAATAGTTTATCTACAATATACTGCTACGGATATTGAAATATACTAAATCCTTTATGAATATTAACAAGCTAAGCTTTAATTCTTTAAATAGTTGGATTTATATTATGCTATTAACCAATTTCTTTATAATAATTTCAATTTGCGATATTTAAATAAATAAATACAATATTTTAAGTTACAAGTGAAAACCATCTTACTTAATTTAAAACCAATAAGAATGAATATTGACGCATTTTATTTCACGGAATTTCATGATCATGAAACTTGTCAATAAAATGGAGTTGAGTTAACAAGAAGAAATTTGACTATTAATTAATTTTTTTTTTTTTTTTTTTTTTTTGAAATGATATTGTACATGAATAAACAAAAATCGTGTATTAAATTCTTTTAAACCATATTCTAAATATAACGAATTTTTTATGTCCTCATCGAGAATTCGAACGAAAAGATTGTTAAATTTTTTGTTAAATTTTTTGTTTTGTTTTTTTTTTTTGTTATAGGATTCCATTGGAGTAGTATTGAAAAGTGTCGTACAGACGAGTGAATACGTTACAGCAGCTCGACATTATCAATTTTTCGACGAATTCCTCGAATTGAGGCTCGGTAAGGGAAAGTTGGAAACGATCTCGAAGGTGAGAAGCTGTCAGCTCACCTGAAAGGAAGCAAGGCAGCTTTGAATCTAATCATCACAAAAGTCATCAGAGATAGGTCCGAACGCGAAAAACAGATGGTAATATACGTGTATTACTAAACGTGCAAATACCTTTGGACATCATTTCGACTAGTAGCACAAGATTGTCTGCATGCTTTCTTAGCGCGAAAAAGGCCTGTTTGAGTAGGTTTTTAAACTCCGCGAATTTTTCGCTGTCTAAACCGCCCAAGATATCCAAATATTCTTGCGAAAGCTTAAACGGTGCTAGTTCGAAACCAACGGAACCGGGGGAGTTTGAAAGCATAAATCCGAAATCGATGTCTACGATTGTATTAATATATTTAATATCAAACGAAATTCAAAAAAAAAAAAAGTTCGACAACACTCACGTATCAGATGACCATCGACATCCAAGAGAACGTTTCCGTTGTGACTAACCGAGATAACAACTGAGATTAACGAATATTCGTACGATCACACGAGAAAGAATGACCAAGCCTACCGATCTTTTACTTGTAGAATGTAACAAACTAGTGAATAGGCCGCCAAGCTTCTCATAAAGTTATCTTGGGCACGCAAAAACGCTTCAGATGAAACATCTCCGTACGTCAAGAGCAATTGGCGTGTCAACTAATTCGCGAAATGCAAAGAATATGGCAGAAAGCGGACATCAATGTATGGGT